TTTGAACAGCCGCAGCAGAATTCTTTCATTTGAGTTTTTTTAGCTTGAGTTTAAGTGATACTCATGATTGAGTGGGAGGAAGAGATGCAAGGAGAGCACAGATGACTTGACAATCTCTCAATAGAATTTACATTTGAGTTCTTGAAGGAGATGTTAGAGATGTCCGAAAAACAGCTGATTAATCTTTAGCGACCTAGGTTTTACGCAGGAGACAAGAGGCGATGAAAGCGCAACTCTGAGTTCTTTTTTGTTACATACCTGAGGTTGCTGTTTCTTCAGCGGGAACACAATTATGTCGTTTTCACATACGACTATGCAATTCAATTTTTTTCATATAGACCGGCAATACGAATTGATTCGTGTCGCGGACGCAGCTATAGATATATATAGCATGATAGCCACGTTGTCCAGGTGATTTCGACTATTTGCTTTTCAACAATTACACATGATTTACCTCTAGATGCACAAACTCTTGTAAAAACAGCGTAGCAAGTTCAGCACACGAGAAGGAAATAGCGATTTACTTCTGCAGTATAGTGAGTTCGATGTTCAAATGTTTCGCATGCATCTAATTGCAAGGTCAATTTTTACATATAATCTAGGCTTGCCGTCGTGTCATAAATAATCTGAAGGAAGCCTCTGGAGGTCGCGACATGGACATCAAATTGGTCACTTCTATTGCTAAGACTGTATGCAGAAACGGAGGATTGCCACAGCAGCACCCAACTGATATTTAAATCAATCCGGATGTATGAAAGATAACTTTCTTGCTTAGATTCTGTATCTCTGAGGTTTTCAATGCTAACTGACACTGCTTACTTAGTATTTATCAGATTAATCTCATTGCAATGACCATCAACGATTCAAGTGTATTAAGCGGGTAACGTTCACGGATTTTACGAACACGATGAGTACTTGCGCAGTGCTAAGATTGCTCATTCATGCAAAGCTCTGTCTGTACCACTGTCACCTTTGCAAATGCATAAAAAAAGTGATATGCTCTCGCATATCTTGTTCGCACGTATACGTCTTTGTGAATCTTTTTCGCAACATTTGATCCGTCTGATAGATTCTTCACTGATACTTCCCTTACCTTCAATTGTATCATGAGCAAAGTGGTAGGGTGTTTTTGACATCAGTAGGGTCCTAAGCTCTGCAACGAAGCTCCCACATTAGTCATGATCGCCACACTGTAATGTTGCGCGCTACACTATAGCC